CCCGTGCAGCACGGCTACACGGGGCTCGAACTAGGTAGTTCGGACTAGGCTTCCTATTCCAAACTACCGGTACACCTCGTTCCTAGTCCGAACTACCTAGTTCGAGGCCCGTGTAGCTGCGCTGCACGGGGTTCGAACCAGCGGGGTTTTAAAGAAGCCCGGGAAATTCAAATCCCGGGCTTCATTTGCAAGTGCGGTATGCCTACATTACCCCGCTAGTTCGAACTAGCGGGGTAGTGTAGACATACCCTTAGTGTGAAGTGACCTCAGTATCAGATACAGCTCCTAATGAAGTAAATGGGAAGATTCTCATTAATTTAAGTGGGAGTTGGATAGGCCCCTCAGAGCTGCTCCCACTCACCTAATTACGTGGACAGTTTTATGACAAATTGGTCAGTCAGGTGGATTTATTAACTAAAGTTTTAGATAATAACATTTTAGACATTTAAGGTAACAAATGGTCTATATTGAATGAAGGTTTATGATGGAAAATGGATTATCTAAGGCCAACACTGTGTTGAATAACATGTAACAACAACATTTGTAAGTCTTTTTTTAAAAAATAGAAAATTTAACAACACATAATGTATTATTCAGATTGTTATGTGTAATTCAAGAGAAGATATAATGGCTACTAAAACAGTTCTAATCTTAGAGTGATGTCCTATTCTTAATATGGGACACCTGGTAAAATTACTCATATTCAACTGAGTTCAATAGCAATCAATCAGAACTCTGCAGTATAAACATTCAAACTAACATCAAGTTAGCTGAGTCCCTGTTAAAAAGAAACTATGTAGTTAGTCTTTTTAAAAAAATCTTATTATCTTTAAGGTTTTAGGGCTCACATGGGGATGGGCAATACACACGTTCTCCAGTACATCTGGCTGCACCCCTCCCTGCCTAAGATGGACCCACCTCTCTTGGTACATGGTGCTTCATCTTCCTGAGGCAATATGTTGGGGAAGGGGCGTGGGACCACCTACCCCCTTTGGGATTTTGCCATGGGTTCACACCAAGATATGCCCAGCAGCAGCCTTCTGGTACTGTGTGCGGAAGGGAAGAGACGGGAGCTGCTTCCAGCCTCAGGAGAAATAGAAGAAGGGATGACCTGGCCCATGTCTTTGCAGAGCTCATCTCTTCTCTGCTGTCCCCAACTCCCCTATGGCTGGAAGTAGTTTGTCATTCCTGGCTACACACTGTTGAAAGTCAGCTAACCTCTCCAAACTGCTGCTGGTCACTGTCCACTTCCTTTCCCCTACTTTCAGTGAGAGCAGGAAGTGGTTAAGCCCTAAGCATGCATTGTGCCTCAGGGCCCAGGAAACCTGACTGCAGGGACTTCAGCAAATGAGGAGGGAGGAGGTGGCTCAGCAGAGGAGGGTGCCTAAGCAGCCCTGTGTTCTCTGGGGAAAGACCTAGGGTGGGGGAGAAGTGAAGTGGTGAGATGCCACTGTTGGCAGGGCTCAGCTTCTTTTGGCCTGTGCCATAGGCTAGAGGGTCTTGGATTTTCCAGTGCGTTGGCCCAGCCAGAGGCAGGGGGAGGGAAGGAGCATGCCGGCCAGGCTGTTGGTGAGCATGCAGACTAGGGGCTGGTTCTCTGCACAACACTGGGAGCGGGATGCACTCCGGTGTGGGGAGGAGTGTATGGAGGAGCAGCGGGGCTGTGGGAGCTGAAGGGGCAAAGCAGGGAGAGGACAGCAAGATTGGCAGCATGTAAAGGGCTGATGGCTGGATAGCAAAGGCAAAACATAACCAGCTGGCACTTGTCTGCACTCATCAGCTACCATAGCACACAGCCAGTGCCAGCCGAAAACAGGACGGGGGCAGAACCCTGCTGGAAATAGCTAGCACGCAGTGGAGACTGCACTGACAGACCAGTGGTGGGGAACAGTCAGCCCCTCATGGTAAGCTTTGCCCAACCACCAGCCTTGCATATGCACCCACATGGTTATCCACTGAACACACACACCTCTCATTACTGATGGCGAATGGTGGACAAGCAGGGATACAGCCAGCAGCAACACACACCAGTAATGATGGGGAGGTAGCAGCTTGCCATCACCACCACAGCACCCTCTGCTAGTCAGTCTTGGGAATTAGCTGTCATTCCTTCTGAGCACCCCTGTTGTGTAGTGTCTCCCTGACATTATCTGCCTCTCCTTCTCCACCACTTGTCAGGACCCATATCTGTCAGACACCACAGTGCTGCCTCGCAAGCAGCAGTGCCCAGTTGACCCTAACCTAATACTTGTCTCAGTGAACCACTGCCATTCTTCATTTATCCCTTTCCCTCAGGGGCAAACCACAGTCTGAACGGGCCACTTCATGACTGGCATCACAGCTGCCTCTCTGCAGCCCTAATACTCTTTCAGACCCCTTTAGCAGGACATCAGCCTGTGAGTGAGTAAGTTAGGCTGGTTCTCCCCTGGCTTCCTCAGACCTTCCCCAACACTGCTCTGTCCAAGGTTTTTCCCTCTAGTACAGGGGTGGGCAATACTTTTTTATGGGGGCCATGAAGTGACCTCAGTATCAGATACAGCTCCTAATGAAGTAAATGGGAAGATTCTCATTAATTTAAGTGGGAGTTGGATAGGCCCCTCAGAGCTGCTCCCACTCACCTAATTACGTGGACAGTTTTATGACAAATTGGTCAGTCAGGTGGATTTATTAACTAAAGTTTTAGATAATAACATTTTAGACATTTAAGGTAACAAATGGTCTATATTGAATGAAGGTTTATGATGGAAAATGGATTATCTAAGGCCAACACTGTGTTGAATAACATGTAACAACAACATTTGTAAGTCTTTTTTTAAAAAATAGAAAATTTAACAACACATAATGTATTATTCAGATTGTTATGTGTAATTCAAGAGAAGATATAATGGCTACTAAAACAGTTCTAACCTTAGAGTGATGTCCTATTCTTAATATGGGACACCTGGTAAAATTACTCATATTCAACTGAGTTCAATAGCAATCAATCAGAACTCTGCAGTATAAACATTCAAACTAACATCAAGTTAGCTGAGTCCCTGTTAAAAAGAAACTATGTAGTTAGTCTTTTTTAAAAAATCTTATTATCTTTAAGGTTTTAGGGCTCACATGGGGATGGGCAATACACACGTTCTCCAGTACATCTGGCTGCACCCCTCCCTGCCTAAGATGGACCCACCTCTCTTGGTACATGGTGCTTCATCTTCCTGAGGCAATATGTTGGGGAAGGGGCGTGGGACCACCTACCCCCTTTGGGATTTTGCCATGGGTTCACACCAAGATATGCCCAGCAGCAGCCTTCTGGTACTGTGTGCGGAAGGGAAGAGACGGGAGCTGCTTCCAGCCTCAGGAGAAATAGAAGAAGGGATGACCTGGCCCATGTCTTTGCAGCTCATCTCTTCTCTGCTGTCCCCAACTCCCCTATGGCTGGAAGTAGTTTGTCATTCCTGGCTACACACTGTTGAAAGTCAGCTAACCTCTCCAAACTGCTGCTGGTCACTGTCCACTTCCTTTCCCCTACTTTCAGTGAGAGCAGGAAGTGGTTAAGCCCTAAGCATGCATTGTGCCTCAGGGCCCAGGAAACCTGACTGCAGGGACTTCAGCGAATGAGGAGGGAGGAGGTGGCTCAGCAGAGGAGGGTGCCTAAGCAGCCCTGTGTTCTCTGGGGAAAGACCTAGGGTGGGGGAGAAGGGAAGTGGTGAGGTGCCACTGTTGGCAGGGCTCAGCTTCTTTTGGCCTGTGCCATAGGCTAGAGGGTCTTGGATTTCCCAGTGCGTTGACCCAGCCAGAGGCAGGGGGAGGGAAGGAGCATGCCGGCCAGGCTGTTGGTGAGCATGCTGACTAGGGGCTGGTTCTCTGCACAACACTGGGAGCGGGATGCACTCCGGTGTGGGGAGGAGTGTATGGAGGAGCAGCGGGGCTGTGGGAGCTGAAGGGGCAAAGCAGGGAGAGGACAGCAAGATTGGCAGCATGTAAAGGGCTGATGGCTGGATAGCAAAGGCAAAACATAACCAGCTGGCACTTGTCTGCACTCATCAGCTACCATAGCACACAGCCAGTGCCAGCCGAAAACAGGACGGGGGCAGAACCCTGCTGGAAATAGCTAGCACGCAGTGGAGACTGCACTGACAGACCAGTGGTGGGGAACAGTCAGCCCCTCATGGTAAGCTTTGCCCAACCACCAGCCTTGCATATGCACCCACATGGTTATCCACTGAACACACACACCTCTCATTACTGATGGCGAATGGCGGACAAGCAGGGATACAGCCAGCAGCAACACACACCAGTAATGATGGGGAGGTAGCAGCTTGCCATCACCACCACAGCACCCTCTGCTAGTCAGTCTTGGGAATTAGCTGTCATTCCTTCTGAGCACCCCTGTTGTGTAGTGTCTCCCTGACATTATCTGCCTCTCCTTCTCCACCACTTGTCAGGACCCATATCTGTCAGACACCACAGTGCTGCCTCGCAAGCAGCAGTGCCCAGTTGACCCTAACCTAATACTTGTCTCAGTGAACCACTGCCATTCTTCATTTATCCCTTTCCCTCAGGGGCAAACCACAGTCTGAACGGGCCACTTCATGACTGGCATCACAGCTGCCTCTCTGCAGCCCTAATACTCTTTCAGACCCCTTTAGCAGGACATCAGCCTGTGAGTGAGTAAGTTAGGCTGGTTCTCCCCTGGCTTCCTCAGACCTTCCCCAACATTGCTCTGTCCAAGGTTTTTCCCTCTAGTACAGGGGTGGGCAATACTTTTTTATGGGGGCCATTTCAAGATTTTGGAAAGTGTTTGAGGGCTGCACTCTTCCATGATATTAATGGAGGAGAAGTGGGGTCTGGGTTGGAAGTTGGGTGGAGAAGGGAGCTTGGAGAAAGGGATTGGGGTGCAGAAGGAAGAATGGAGTCTGGGAGGGAATTTGGGTGAAGTAGGTGGTTGTGACCTAGGGCAGGGGACTGAAGTGCAGAAGTTTGGGATGTGACCTAGGGTAGGAGGGGATTGTGATCTGAGACAGGAGATTGGGGTGCCAGATCTGGGAAGGGGTATGGGTGCAAGAGGGGGGCAGAGGGTTTGGTATTTTGATTGGGGATGCAGAGGGTTAGGGAAGGGGAGGAGTTGGGGTGCCAGAGGCAGGCTCTGGCCAGGAGACTTACCAGCCAGCAGCCAAACCAGCCTGCCTGCTTGCAGAGCTAAAGGTTTGCAGAGCTTAAAACATTGCCCAGCCAGCCTGCCTGCCTGCCCAGCCTTGTGCTTGTGTGAATAACTGAGCCAAGGAGAGAGGGCGTGGTTCTTTGTGGCTGCCTGTTAGCCTTGTGCTTGTGTGAATAACTGAGCCAAGGAGAGAGGGTGTGGTTCTTCTTGCCTCTTATTCAAACAGGCAGCTCCCATTGGCCAAAAACCGGCCAATGGGATTGTGCTGGGGGCAGGGGAAGCTCCTAAAGCTTCCCCTCTCCCCTCCAGTTTTGAACTAGAAACGGAGACCGGCAGCCGTGTTTCGCAGCTCCTTCAGCTTTCCCCCCCCCCCTCCAGTTTTCAAAGAGAATGGGGCTCAGCAGCTGCATTTCTGAGGCTATGTCTACACTTCTGGGGTGGAGGTTGGGAAAAGGTACTCAATTTGAGTACTTTTTTCAGATTCTTTTTTCGGAAGAGGCTTTTCCAACATTTGGCCCATCTACACGGGGTCAAATGTCAGAAAAACCTTTTCTTTCAGAAGAACCATTATTCCTCAGAAAATGAGGAATACAGGGCTTCCAAAAGAGCGCATCTGCTCTTCCAAAAAAAATTCAAAAGAGCAGACACGTTCCCTGGATATGGCAGAGTTTTTTCAGGACACTTCTGGTATCCCAGAAAAATTCCGTAGTGTAGACATAGCCTGAGCAACCTGCAGGGTAAGCAATGGAGCCTGCCTGGGGTTCCTCGCTGCCTCCACAGTATGTCTGGCTACCCTAGTTTTAGCTCTCTGTCTTAACATTCAGTTAATACAGAGACACTTTTTTACAAGTGACAGGTATCTAAACAACCTTAGCTCTACCCTTTTGACAAGACATTTGCAATAGTAAAAAACTCTTAATGAACCTTATCCCTTTATCATGTGGCTTTCTTTTATAACAGTACATGGACATGTCAATGACTTACTGTATAGGTCCTTGTATCTTAAATAGCAAATAGGTATTAAATGACTTACTAGATATTAAATGTCTTAGTATATAGTATTTAATGGATATTGAATGACTTAATAAATAGGTATGTCAAATAACAATTTTTTCTTACTGAGAAAAATAGTTCACTATACCCATAGTTAAACAAATGTCATTAGAGAGTAAGGTACTGAATAGATTAAAAATAATCTTTAAACCAAATAATCAAACTTTCCCTATTACCTTAAAAAAACTGTTCATGTTATAGTAAACCAACATACTTGTTACTTATAGGTAGAATCCTCCCAAATACATGGCCCATTTTGGTCAGTTTTACAATCATAGGATTTTAAAAATCATAATCTTCATGATTTCCCATATTTAAATCTGAAATTCCACCGTATTATAATTGTAGGGGTCCTGACCCAAAATAATTGTGGGGAAGTCAGTTATTGTAGGAGTGTCCGTGGTACTGCTACCCTTAATGTGCCCTTATTGTAGAAGTGTTTATGGTGCTGCTGGCAATGGCACAGCCTTCAGAACTGGGCAGCTGGAGATTAGTGGCTGCTGGCCAGAGCTCCAGTTCTGAAGGCAGGGCAACTGCCAGCAGGAGTACCAAAATAAGAGTGGTAATTCCATACCATACCACCTTTACGTTAGTGCTGCTGTTTTCAGAGCTGGGCAACCAGAGAATGGTAGTTGCTGACTGAGGGCGCAGCTCTGCAGGCAGAAGTACAGAAGAAAAAGTGACATAGTATGGTATTACCATCCTTAATCTGGCACTGCTGCTGGTGGGCACTGCTGTCAGAACTAGGCACGTGGCTAACTGCTGCCATTCTCCAGTTGCCCAGTTCTGAAGGCAGCACAAAAGTAAGGGTAGCAGTACTGTGACTCCCCCTAAAACAATCTTGTGACCATTTCACAACTCCCTTTTTGGTCAGGACCCATAATTTGAGAAATGCTGGTCTGCCCTGCCCTCTCATGAACTCTACATGACAGCATAAAATCACAGAAAAGACCAGATTTCACTGGGGGAAAACCAGATTTCACTGTCTGTGACATGTTTTTCATGTTGTTGAATTTGGTAAGACCTACTTATAGAAAAGTATACACAAAATACTAAACTTTTATTTATAATACTAAAAAGATCTGTAAAAGACCATTCCTATTCTTTAAAAACAGAAAAACAAAAAAACTCAAAAGAAGTTATAACATTTTTTCCATGGAAGTTGAATCAGGAAAAAAAATGATAACACAAAAACTAGGACAAAGCTCGGGTTGTTTAAATGCTGCTCATTGAGAACGTTTCAGTATTTGCTTGCAACATATTGTTATGATAGAGCCTAGAAACTGTTGTTGTGAACCAGGACCCCATTGTGCTAGGTGCTGTACATACGCAGAACAAAAACAAGGTTCCTGCTCCAAACAGCTTACACTCTAAGCATAAAATGAGAGCGAGCAGATTGATTTAGACAGACACATAAAAAAACAATGAGACATGGGTGGTGTCAGAATTGTTTATATAACATCCAGTTTCCTCCTTTGTATAGTGTTTAATGGTTTTATGGATAGTTTTACATCTTTGCTTGAACTTCACACATCAACTCTAAATGTAATGTAATAAATTTCTTGTTATATCATCAGCCAATAGCTAATAGTCATCCTTAATGAATAAATGTTCCATACTAGCCACAGATACCTTCCCAGTCTACTGCAGAGATGGAAGAAAAAGATCTGAATATTGTTAAAATTCCAACTGGAACAGATATGTGCAGTTTGTATGAAGATGGTAAGTATGATTTTTAAGGAAAAACTAATATATTGTGTAACCTTATTTTAAATATGCTTATCAGAATTGAGTAGCACGTTTTCAATAATATCTGTTGGAAAACAGACTGAGAGGAATTCTGTACTTTCTGTTCCCTTCACACTGCACTGAAAATGTGTACATGAACAGCTAAGTGTAGCTTTAAAAGAACTTAAGTTAAATGATTGCTATTTGTTATCAAACAGGAAATGATATATTTTAAGTGCAATTCAGTGGTTCAACGAGAAGCAAAATACTACTAACTACTTACCTTATAAAAGTTCAGAGCATTATGTGTGCCACTGTGTCTGGCATGCAGTTTGACACTGTTTATTCATCCAGATATGGTCTCTGAGCTATCAAAACTCTTACGCAGGTGCTTAACATTAAGCATGTGATTGCTCCCTAGACTTCATTGAATTATTCAGATGCTTAAAGTTACGCACAAACTTTAAATATTTTGTCAAAGCAAGGCTTTAGTATGCATACTTTCCATTAACAGTACTAATATTGAAACTAGCTACCATTCCTGCCTTTTGTAAGTATAGTTATGTCATTCTGGATGCATGCATCCCATTTAAGTATGCTCTGTCTTTGGTTAGATTGACAAGTAGTAAAATCTGTTAAATTCACATTGTTTTGCTATTTTATCCCACTTTCTTATGTCTTCTCCAGTTCTTCCTCTTATTCATACAAGTACAAGCAAAACTTACATCCTGTTTTGGAAGTGCAGTTTGTCAAGTCAGAAATATAAAAGTACTAGTTTAAAATGAAGTCCCAAATCAGTAATGTTTTCAGTTAGCTCTGGAAACTTCATTTTTTACTGAGGACTATCCATTGTTATCAAACGTTTCTAATCCTGTCATTAGGACTTTTAGTCTACCTTGCTGTTTGATCTTAGTTCCCATGTTATTTACCAAAATGACTGTAGTAGTGGCAGCCATTGACACAACTGTTCTAGTGTACTTTGATGGCTGGCACCTCAAAGTCCTGACTTGGTCATTCAGGGTACATCTACACTTGCTCCCTAGTTCGAACTAGGGATGCAAATGTAGGCAACCGAAATTGCTAATGAAGTGGGGATTTAAATATCCCGTGCTTCATTAGCATAATCTCGCCCACGCGCTATTCCGCTCGCCCGCTGATTCGAACCAGGAAGTGTGCTCTGGCACACATTAGTTCGAATTAAACCCCTTGGTTCGAATTAACATTACTCCTCAAAAAATGTTAAATTCATTAATTCAAAAAATGAGGAGTAATGTTAGTTCGAACCAAGGGGTTTAATTCGAACTAATGTGTGCCAGAGCACACTTCCTGGTTCGAATCAGCGGGCGAGCGGAATAGCGCGTGGGCGAGATTATGCTAATGAAGCACAGGATATTTAAATTCCCGCTTCATTAGCAATTTCAGTTGCCACATTTGCATCCCTTGTTCGAACTAGGGAGCAAGTGTAGACGTACCCTCAAAGACTGTGATGTTCATTGAGCCTATGGACTAAGAACTAAACAAATAACTAACTTCTCTCTTCGTGGCTTCTGTTCTACATGGGCACAATTTTCAGTGTATCTGTAAGTCTTTTCATAAAAAGAAAGAAAGAAAGAAAGAAAGAAAGAAAGAAAGAAAGAAAGAAAGAAAGAAAGAAAGAAAGAAAGAAAGAAAGAAAGAAAGAAAGAAAGAAAGAAAGAAAGAAAGAAAGAAAGAAAGAAAGAAAGAAAGAAAGAAAGAAAGAAAGAAAGAAAGAAAGAAAGAAAGAAAGAAAGAAAGAAAGAAAGAAAGAAAGAAAGAAAGAAAGAAAGAAAAAGAAAAAGATTTGCCACATTCAAGATTACTTGGACCTGCTGGATTTAGAGGTCTTCTATCAGGAGGTGACTCCTTGGATCAGTTCTGACCCAGGTCTCTGTGTTTATTATTACTAAAGGAATCAATTCTTAATCCTGAACAGAAGATGAAAAATCTATGAGGGAGTCATTTTACTGTGAGGAAGTGGGTAGGTATTCGTGTTAGGGATGTTAAATATTGGTTAATTGAATAGTAGCTTAATCTCATGAATTCTTATTGGTTAGACAACTATTCAATAGTCCCCAGGCAGCCCTTGTCCAGGGGCAAGGGTCTGAGTTCCTGGTCCCAGCACAAGCCGGAACTGAGCCAGGCTCCCTGCAGGACCTAGTGCAAGTTGGAACTGAGCTGGGCTGCTGGCCAGCTTGCTAAAAAATGTACTGGCAAGGAGTGGTGGGGAAGTGCCTGTAGTCTATAGCATTAACCTATAAGCTTTTGGCAATTGTTTAATCGACCTTACTATTACATCCCTATCTTGTCTCCTTTAGTCATAGGTGACTGCTAAGGAGGGACACAAGACAGGGACTAGCCATGTGACCACCACCGCATGTCACCCCTCTCCGTGCAACCCTTATCCCTGACAGAGCTGTCCCTGTGGAGGTGTAGGGCCCAGGACAAGTCCCTCCATCTGCTCCAGGTCCCACTACCACCCTGGCTCTTTTGGTCCCTACTTTGTCTCACCCCTTCTCCTAAGCCCCTACCCCTCCTCACTGGGGCTTGGAACAGGGCCATGTAATAACAGACAGAGCTGGGGGCAGGCATGCTGGGGTCAGCAGCTGAGCTTCAGGAAGCTGCCAGGATCTAAGGTCTGAGGCCAGCAGCCAAGTCCTGGGCAGCAGCTGGAAACCTGGATGTGAGGCTGGTAGCCAGGACACCGGGTATGGGGCAGGCAGCTGAGTCCCAAGTGTGGGGCCAGCAGTGGAGCCCTGCATGGCAGTTGAGACTCCAGATGCAGGGCTGACAGTGGAACCCTGGGTAGCAGCTGGGATCCCAAATGCAGGGCCAGCAGCTGAGTTCCCAAGTGTGGGGCCAGCAGTGGAGCTCCAGGCATGGGGCTGGCAGCGGTGCCCCTGGCAGCAGCTGGAACCCCAGACTCTGGTCCCACTGGTTGCTTGCTTGTATCCCTCTCCCCTCTACAGTATTTGAGGGCATCTGATCTTTCATGCCCCCCATGCAATGCCCCTGACATTAGTTGCTAGGAACTACTTTAAGTCAAAGTTACAGGTACTATCTGAAACCTGCATCTCAACCAAAGTGGAAGGATTGCAGACCAAGCTAGATGAGCAAGCATCTCAAACAAGTGATCAAGAGAAAACAGAAAGTATTCAGTGAGTAGCAGATGGGATACATTAGCAAGGAAATCTGCCTCTTTCAGGTCAAAAGGTGTATGGATAAAGGAAGAACTGACAAAAGCCAAACAGAAATGAACCTCGTAAAGAGAATTAAAACCAATAATAAAACATTTGGTTGCCATATAAATAAAAAGGAAACAAGCAACGAAGTGGGACCACTAAGCACTGAGGATGGAGTGGAGATTAAAGATTATCTAGGTATGGCCCAACACCTACACAAATACTTTGCCTCAGCTTTTAATGGGGTTAATGAAGAGCTTGAGAATAGTGGCAAGGTAGCTAATGCAAATGAGGATATGGTGGTAGAAATTACCACGTACAATGTGGAAGTGAAACATCTTAATAGGACTAATTTGAGGGACCTGGATAATCTCCATTCAAGAATATTAAAGGAACTGGCACATGAAATTGCAAACCCAATAGCAAGGATTTTTAATGAATGTGTAAATTCATGGATTGTACCCTACGGCTGGAGAATTGCTAATATAGTTCCTATTATTAAAAAGGGGGGAAGTGATCCAGAAAAATACAGGAGTGTTAGTTTGACCTATTGTGTGCATGGTCTTGGAACAAATTTTGAAAGATAAAATACTTGAGGACATAGCAGTGAATGGTACTTGGGATAAAATACAGTATGGGTTATTACAGAGAATTCTTTCCCGAGTATGTGTCCAGTGGGTCTTGCCCACATGCTCAGGGTCTAACTGATTACCTTATTTGGAGATGGGAAAGAATTTCCCCCAAAGTCAGTTTAGCAGAGACCCTGGGGGATTTTTACTTTCCTGTGCAGCATAGGGCTTGGGTCATTTACAGGTTTAAACTAGTATAAAATTCTCTGTAACTTGAAGTCTTTAAACCATGATTTGAGAACTTCAGTAACTCAGGGTATGTCCACACTAGCCCCCTAGATCGATCTAGGGAGGCTAATGAGGGCGACCGAAATTGCAAATCAAACCCGGCATTTAAATATCCCGCACTTGATTTGCATGTTCCCTGCCTGTCGCCATTTTAGAAACTGACTAGCCCGAAGTAACTGCCCGCGCCTGACTAGCCCGAAGTACCTGCCCGCGTCTACAAGCGGCAGTGAAATGGGATTCCGATTTAAAGCCCCTAAATCGAATTAGCCGGTAAACCTCATTGCAGGAGGAATACCAGCTAATTCGGGTTAGGGCTTTAAATTGGAATCCCGTTTCACTGCTGCGTGTAGATGCGGGCAGTTACTCGGGCTAGTCAGTTTCTAAAACGGCAACCGGCCGGGAACATGCAAATCAAGCACGGGATATTTAAATGTTGGGCTTGATTTGCAATTTCGGTCGTCCTCATTAGCCTCCCTAGATCGATCTGGGGGCTAGTGTAGACATACCCTCAGTCAGAAGTTAGGGGTCTATTACAGGAGTGGATGGGTGAGGTTCTGGGGCCTGCAATGTGGAAGAGGTCAGACTAGATGATCATGATGGTCCCCTCTGCCCTTAAAGACTGTGCTAGTGCTAGGGCTGTGCTAGTTGGAGCAGATTGTTAATGCAATGTACGTATAGTGATTTCATAAGCACCAAAATCTCATTCATAAAAAAGTAAACTAGCTTCATGTCTATTTGTATATGTCACAGGCTATATAACACATGCATACATTTCTCTCAGAGGATTCGGCTAGACTACAAGTTTTTGTAGGGAATAGGTACGCAAAATCTACTCCACATTTTGAGTACCTTTTTCCGTTTCTTTTGTAGGAAGTGACTTTTCCAACATTTGACCCGTCTAGACTGGGCCAAATGTCAGGAAAAAAAACCCCGTTTTGAAAGCCCCCTTCTTCCTTGTAGAACGAAGAATATAGGGGCTTCCGAAAGAGTGCATTTGCTCTTCTGCAGAAAAAAGCGGAAGAGCAAATACGTCCCCTGGACGTGGCGGATTTTTTTCAAGATACCTCTGGTATCCTCCGGTATCCCAAAAAAACCCTGCAGTCCAGCCATACCCAAACTGACAGAGGGGGAAATTGATCAACTATATTGAATCAAAAACATTATTAGTCTCTTTATTTGTTAATAAATGCCAATGTTTTGGGGCAAATCTACTAATCCTTTAAGATATTAAAAACAACAAGTAGTCCTTGGCACCTTAGGCTATGTCTACACCAGTGGTCCCCAACCTTTCGGGGCTGCCAGGCACGGAGCTACTCAGACACCGTGAATCCGGGGGCAGGGCCACGCATGCGCCGTGCGCCCGGGGGCAGGGCTGCCCATGTGCCATGCGCCCGGGGGCCAACACCGCATATCTGCCACACCCCTGGGCCAGCACCACACATGTGCCGCGCGTCTGGGATAGGAGCCACCCACACGCCTGAGGCTGGCACCACACATGTGCCACGCGCCCAGGGCGGGGGCTGCCCACGCGCCCTGCGCTGGCACTGCACATGTGCTGCACGCCCTGGGCAGGGGCCACCCACGTGCCCCGCACCCGGGGCTGGCACCGCTCATGTGCCACGCACCGGGGATGGAGCCAGCCCAGATGATTCGGCAGGCACACATAAATGCCCCTCTACACTATGAGTTTTCTCAGAAAAAGAATATATTTTCTGCAGAGCCGTTTTT